ACCTCCCATCCTGCAGGCATCACTGAGAACCAGTTGTTCCCAACTTAAGGAATACAGATTTTCTTGGAACCTCATGGGATGAACAGTGCAGTACTTTTTCAAAGCAGCTCGGGGTCTTCTATTTTAACAGAAATTTACTGTTCTCACAGCTCCTGCTAACCTCTTCCACAATTTGTTTACACTAAGTCATATTTCTTGCAATGTGGACAATTTGGCATCTTGTATGAACTCTTTTGCAATTTAGTTTGTGTGTCCAGAGGTTATTGCTTATCCTTTCCAACAGTTGGATGAAAATCAACAATATCATTTTTTTTTAATAAGAAAGCAAATATGTGTCTTCCTTGTTCTGAAAGACAAAATTTCTTGAACGTTACAATTTAGAACATGAGAACCTTTTTTAAGCCGGGGGCCTCACTTGGCGTTTGAGTAGCAAGCTGTGAGAGGAACCAAGGTTAAGAAGTGGATATGGCCAGGATACACACTAAATTTGATTTCTAAATTTGTGCAATGTTAAATTAAATCACTTGCAAGTTACATTAAATCTAGAAAATGTGATTAAGTCCCTGGCAGGGTTCACATTACACATTTCACCGGCTGCATTTACATAACAAGGAACTTCAGAGGAACAGTGTTCTTACTGAGTATGGATGAGTTGCTAACTTATTTTAGGGTAGGACTTTAATGGGATGGAAAATACAGCATTTTACGGCTTGATTTGCTAAAATGACCCACTGTAGCAGCGGTAGCACTTGAAGTCTTGGATTTGGACCAAACAGATACATGGTTGATCCCAGGGGTGACTTAGGGCTGCTGTAAAATATTAAAATTCCAGTAATTGTTGGGATGTGTGTTTTCTGACCTACCTGATCTTGACCAGCTAACAGCTAATCACTTGCTGGCCCAATACATAGGATGCACTGAAGTGAGTGAGAAAGGTAACCATGTCATGTGGATTGACCACCCAAATCGACCAGCTGACTGATCAGCCAGTTAACCAGAGAGTGTTAGATTTAGCCTTAAGAGTTTGGGGTTAAACTAACTTACCCCTTCCATGCAAAGGACAGTTAGGTGTCCCTTATGATCTCCATGACGAAGAAGAAGTTCTAGAACAGACCATGAAAATGGAAGCACTCTACGCTTTCCATCTCTGTGGTGCTTCAGTTTTCATCTCCTTAAGGAAGTTGAAGAGGGAATGAGGGAGAGAGAAAAAAGACATTAAGAAGCAGTTGTTTGTCTTCTAGTGTATTATCATTTTCAGTTTTCATGTCCCTGGCAAATATTCCCTTCACCTCAATACTCAAGGCATGACTAAAAAATATGAAACATACCATGGCAAGAACAAACTGTATGGTACCCCATTCAATGTTTGCCTCCCCCAGAAAAAAAAGGGAGGGATATATTATAATAACCTATTCGCATTTTTACTGCAAGATCTCTCCCCTTGCGGCCATCAATAAATAAATTTCCATCACACTGAATGAGTTGTGCCATCAAAGCAAAGCAAAGGAGGTGCTCTTTTACAATTGCCATTGCAAAGCCTTGCGTTACAACAACAAATTCAATCAAATCATCTGTGACTTCTGATTTCCATTTCCCCCTTGTAATTATTTTTTTTTATCCAATAAAACTGAGGTAATGCAATTTGGTAGCCCAAAAAGCATTAGCGAAGGATGAATCACTGCAACAGCATCCATTAAAGTGCATTACAGAAAATGATTTATTTCTTCTGTAACCAGCTGGAGTTATGAGAAAATTGAAAAGCAGCCTCTCAATGATCCAGAGGTCTTTTAGATAAAGGCCACAGTATGAGATGAGCCCTCTGTCGATCATAACCACAGACTTGGAATTACAAGTAATTTTAATTGAGCCCTATGCTAGTAGACAGAGAAAAGCCATTTCAAGAGAGTTAACATTGCTTCAGAAATGGCACTGTGTCATTGCTTGTGCTTCAGAAGGTGATCTGGAGATTATTTTCATTTCCCATTGGCTGTTCAAGTCCTGCAACATCCTGGTATGATTAGGAAAAAGGAGCCCAAATACAGAATTGCCAATGAACCAACCTTAGAAGTTTTGAAGGCAACACAGTGAGCAAGGAAGCTCAATGAAATGCTTTGGTTCTGTCTTGATGTGGAGGGGTGGGGGAAAATGTGGGTCGCATTGCCCTAGGAGAGTGGGATGAAGTGCTCAGTAACTGGTCATACACAAATACTGATTGGCTGACAGGTGTTTGTCCTTATCTATTGGCCAGAAAGGGAAAGCTCTGATTGGCTAAGGCTTCCATCAACTTCTATAACTTGCAGGCATGCTTGGTCTGATCTGATGATTCAGAACTTTCAATCAACTTGTCTGAAGTGATTCAGTTTGATTTTCCAAATCATAAGGCTCTTGCTTATGCACTGAAGTCCTTCCAAATTATACAACTGATTGCCAGTTAGGTAAATCTCTGGTATTTAACACAGGATTCAGAAAGATTTGGGAGGCAGAAAGGCTAATCACTTGGCAGTGATCTCAGATGTTCAGCCTTGTAAGGTCATGCTCACATCTCTGCCTACAGGAAGGGCACGGGCCATGAAGAAGATGGGCATACCATAGTCATGACAGCACATTTCTTGCTATATGTTGGGTAAGATTAACGTGCCAAGTTCAGCATTATTCAGTTTCTCCTCTTCCCAGCCTTCCATCTACGCAAACATTTGCAAAGTTTTTGTGTCTCCTTCCCCTAACACATAGCACTTTTGGCAAGCAGATTTGTTACAGATAAAGTATCTTTGTATGTCACCTTTCCCTAACATATGCACATGTCTGCATTTAGACAAGGGAACTGCATCACCAAATTCAGATCAATGTAAATAAAAAGTCCAACCACATCCAAATTCCTCCCACTGTCCTATTCTGACCTCGTCCTCTAAAGCTGAAAGAATAAGCCCATACTGAATCTACCAAAAAATGAACGTAAAGAAGCAATTTTACTAATAGAGGGATTCTGTGCCAAAATGCTACAAAGTGAGGTGCAGTGGGGTCAATCAAGGCCTTGCCACATTTTGTATGTACACTTTAAAAAGGGTGGGGCTTCAATTGCCTGGTTGCACCCAACATTTTGACACTGTTGATCTCTCCTCCTGTGGATGTCCCCAAGTAGATAACCTATCTTCTACCTCCAGCTGTTCTTGGGCTACAACAACAGCGCACACATTGTGCAAACCCAGACAATTTGGTTAAGACGTGTTTCAATATATTCTGTGCACCCAGAAAATGAACTCAGCAACCAGAATCAGAGTATTGTGCAAATACAGCATAGCAGGCATATTGCCACAAGATCTGAAACTCTGCTAGCTACAAGCCTGAAGAACAGAGTTGAGGGGCACACGTATCATGCTTTCTTCCTCATGTTTTTTTTAAATTTAAAAAAAACCCTCATTTTCAAAGATAGGCACAGGTTCCACAAAGGGGAGAAGGAGGCAAGGTAATCCTGCGATTAGGACCAGATGTAGTGAGGAAGAGGAGTAATGCATTCAGCAAGAATCTCCCTTGTGCAAATCCACTCCCTAGCTGCACTCTTGGGACATTCAGAACCTTGTTGGAAATAAGACCATCCTCCAACACGTAAAAAATATCCAGACTCCAAGATGCCCAATTCCAGGGAAATGCAGGAGTCAAAATAAATTCTCAAACCCTGAGTGGGTGGGATGAGAACAACCCTGTGAAGAGGTCTGTATTTTGTGCTTTGAAGGACTTAGGATGATTTTACAGAACACAGGATAGTGAGGGCTATTCCTCACATGGAGGCTTTATGGGGTGGGGGGATTTATTATCTTTACTCAGCAAATTTTGGGATAGTAATCCCAAGTACATTTGGGGAAGAGCTAAATATCCAGGAAAAGGCAAAAACCTATATTAGAAGCACGTCTACCTTCCCTTCATGCAGCAAAAGGCCTTTGTGGTTAGCGTAAGGGTGTGTCTCTACATGTGGGCGTGAGAGAGTTACTGAAAAATACTACAATAATGGGTTTTCTTTTAAAAGACAAAGAGTTTATCCATGACACTCTGCATTGCTGATGGACTGAGTAGCTGTAATTATGCAGCGTGTTTTACCATGATGAGCCAAATTACTGTTTTCATGGTTTGCATAGCTTGAACCATGTTTGCAGGACATGGGAGGATTAACGCTCATCTGGCTGGTTTGTGAGGTAAAAAGTCACATTCAAGCAATGAATGAGAAGCAGGTGGGGAGAACAGTGGTTAAATTTTGAAATATATGCCCCGCCTGCCTTAGCTTTTGATAGAGGGAACTCCCTGAAACCCTCCTTTGCAGTGCCAAGATAAAGTTTTAGGAGGTCTGTTGGTGGTTCCTCCCTCCCAAATAGCCAAAGTCAGACTGCATTTTACTCAGAGCAAAAAGACTTGACAAATCCATTGCTTCCAAAATAAAAAGAAAGTGCTGGAAACCCTGAGCCAAAATCTATTGGAGCAATTTCTCTCTATCTCTGTGTTTGTTACATAAAAAGCAGTTGTAGAAATCATCCAAGCTGCATGCTTTCTCTTCAGCATTTGAGGTTCATCAACAAAAAGTTATGAAGATAAAGAGGAAAGTTTGAAGGAAAAAAATATCTAGGTACCAAGATTAAAACCTGTGCTTTACACATGCTTATGAAAGAACAGTGTTGCTCAGAACATAGTAATATTCACAAAATATTTCCTAACAATAGTGTTGGAGGCCAATGAAGGGTAAGAGCAGAAGGGTTTTTCCCAGTAAGGCCTATTAAGAAATGTGTGTGCAACTACTGCAATATATTCCTTTTGAAACCTAAGAAATTCCAGAAAAATCATTCAGATTTACTTATGTGGGAGAAAATGTTAGCACAGACCTATCCATCTTAAGAGTTTGGCATACATTTGCTCTGCAGCTTGAAAGGAAGATGATAAGAAATGAGCATTCTTGATTTCTCAGAGCAGATCTGGGGAAGATGCCAGGACACACCCTAAGGTTTCTCCTCCCAAATCTACTCATGCTTGCTTTCCTGCAGAGACAGGCAAGCAGCCTGTTTGGAGTGACTGCTACTCTCTGGAGAATTATCTCTGTAGGCCGAAGAAGAGCACAGGATCAATTTAAGCTTTAAAGGTGAAGGTCATCTTCAGCTTGAGGTCAGTTCTTGATAACTTCATGGGCGTATTTCTTGGCCGCTGTATGGAAATGTTTCTTCCTGCCTTCTTTCAGGATGATTTTTCTTTTTTTTTAATAACTTCTCAATCTAGCCCAAGAGTCAGTTTGGTGCTGTGTTTAAACAGAATTGGATTAGAAACTGGGAGATATGAGTCCTAATCTGGCTTTAGACATGAAAGCAGCTGGATGATTTTGGACTAGTCATTGACTCTCTCTCCGCCATACAAAGAAGGTACTGGCGAGCCACTTCTGAAAGTGTTGCCAAGAACATCCATGGATGGTTCCTACAGGAATCAGAGTTGATTAATTAGACCATAACAAAAGCCCCAGGTTGAAGTTGGACCATGAAACAACATTTACAGGGCTGAAGTTGATAGAAACAGAATCTTCTAATAGTCAAGAATTAACCATTAGCATGCTGAGTCCAACAGAGCAGCAAGTTTCTTGTTTCAGAAACCATCAGCTTAGAACTAAAGGGATTTAAGACGGACCTCTCTCAGTTCTACCCAGGTTCAGGTGCAGAAGGTTCTTTCAATTGCAAATTGTAACACACAAGTAGGGCTTAATTCTAAGAGTTAAGTTTAAGAGCCAGTCTGGTCTAGTGGTTAAGGCATCAGCAGACAACAGTGAGTTCTAGTCCTGCCTTAGGCATGAAAGCCAGCTGGGTGACTTTAAGCCAGTCCCTCTCTCTCAGCCCAATCCACCTCACAGGGTTGTTGTTGTGGGGAAAATAGGAGGAGGAAGGAGTATTAGGTATGTTTGCCCCCTTGAGTCAGTTATGAAAATAATAAAGGCGGGATAAAAAAAATTCTAAAATTCTAAAACTCACTAAGGCAGAACACATAATGGGAAGAAGTTAAGAATAGTCTGCTGAATTCTTCAATCCCCTTTGAAAGGAATGGATAGGAGGGAAGCTGATGGAAACCACAAGATATGTTATTTTTTAAAGCTCATTTAATTTTCTAACTCCCTTCAATGAATCACTGAAGTTGAGGTTGCAATCTCTAGGCAATGTTAGCTTTTTAAAAAAATCCCATCACAAATGCTATTAAAAGATAGCCAAACATTCAAATTCCATTTATTTTAAACTTGGAGTTTATTTTTACAGAATTCAACAGGAAAAAAAAAAAAAAGCAAACTGAGAAACTACAAGCCGTAGGAAGGAAATGGAATATGGAACTGGAATGTGGGAGGGAGACTTCAGGGCAGGACTGACCCCTCCTGTGCTTATTTCACTTACATAAGGAACTTCAGGATCAAAAGGCTGGAGAAAGTTGTCAAGAGGGAACCCACAAGTCGAGATGCTCCTGAGAGTGAACAGTTGACCTTGGTCTCAACTTTCTTACTGCTAAAAAAGGGGGTGTTGCCCCTTTTTAAGGTATTACATATAGAATTAGAAGTACATCCTTTGATAGTATTCTTCAAAGGTTTTCCATCTGAATGGGAAGAACAGAGTTGCATCTAATATCTGATGTACCAAGCTTAATCAGAACTATGTCCTCCCTTGTCCAGGGGCTCCCACAATGACCAACCCAATGATTCTGGGAAGCAAAACACAAATACAATCATACTACCCCCTTCATCCAAAGTGGTGGCCATCACCACATCTTTTTCCTGTCAAGTTCATAATTTAATGATGCAGCTTGTGAAGAAATACCTCTGACCTGTCCTAAGTCCGTCTCGTCAGCATTTTTCATATCTACTTTTCCCAGACACACACACACTCTTTCATTTTATGTCTTTGAATCATACCTCTCACTTACCTGTTCTTTCCCTCCTCCCAGCTAAAGAGAACAGTTCTACCTAGCCAACCTAAGCTGATTTTGAACATCTAAGCAGGATCATATGGTTAATATTTTGGTGGGATCTCTAGGAATCTCATGCTTGTAGGCTAGACTGAGAAATTTGGAAAAACATCCTGGGAGAAGACAATTGCAAACTATTTCCATATGGTTGCCAAACAAAACTATGTAGCCTTGCTCATGGAGTCACTCAAAGTTAAGTTCAAATTGAGGGAGTCTTCAAGCTAAAGAACCCCAAACATTGTCACCCTTCTTTTTCAGATAGCAGCTTTAGCCACAATTTTTTGCCAGCAGGTAGACATCCATTCATGTCTCTGCATCTTTCCAGACCCATCTACACTGACAGAACTAGAGTTCATTCAGAGCTGCCCATTTATTTCAGCGGGGCTTTGGGTGACCCTTAACCAAAATACACCCCAGTGTTTACCATAGCTCACCTGGAATGCCTTGTCAAATTGTCCCATCTTTTCACTAGCTATGGATCCTACATCATGGGGAATTCTAATGTATCCACCTAGAAAATGAAAGCATGTACTACTTACTGAGATAAATGGTCCATGTCATAGCAAAGCAATCAGACGCACTTCCGGTACAATCCACTGTCTTCTTTTCACAGGTATCTTTCCAGGTGTAACAGGCAGGGCACTGTTTCCCATTGGGGTCTTTCTCTAACAGTGGCACTGAAAGAAGGATTCTTAGTTAATTTATAGTAAAAATACCAGAGATTTTCCTTTTGGGATGGATGGACAAACAATTGGAAAAAGCTCGTGGATCTTTGTTTTTATATATAATAACTGCAGCTAGACTTTTGTATGCTCAAAGGTGGAAAGACTCAACGTTACCTACAATGGAAGAATGGATCATGAAGATGATGGAGTTAGCTGAGATGGCAAAACTGACAGCTTTGCTTAGAGAAAAAACTTTGGCTAACCCTATTGCCAGCTGGAAGCCCCTTTTGGACGTTTTGCCAGAGACAGAAAAAAATGAAATTATGATTTATGGATTTGTTGATTAGTTAAAACAATAGGTTATACAAAATATGTATGTTAAGATGTAGTTTTAGAGTAAGAAGTCACTATATGATTTATCTATATTTGCTGTACAAGAAGTTGGAATTCTTTTTGTAATTTTTCCTTTTTTTCCCTTTTCTTTAATTTTCATCACTTTTGTATTCCTTCTTTATCTCTAACTCTCTTGTTTTCTATTTTTCTCTTTGATTATTAGTCCTTGTTTGGTTTTATCTGTATGCTTTTTATAACTTAATAAAGTTCTTATAAAAAAATTATAGTAAAGATTGAGGTAGGCTTAATTCAGAGATGAGTGTATTGCTAACTATATTAAATGCATCAATGGCATGAGTAGCCAGTTAAAGAGATTTCTAGAAGATTCATCAGTAGCTTCTAGAAGTGATGACCGAACAGTCTTAAGAGCATCCAATTACTGTTTTCAATAAAATGTTCTTACTAAGGAATCCTTCCTACAGCCTGGATACAGAAGGAAAGAAGTGAGTGTGGCAAAGGATGAAGAGTTCCCACTCTTCCTTCCTTCTCACCAGGGGTGTCCACATGGGGAGGGCCCCAAAAAGTCAAGGGAGTGGTCAAAACAATGCAACTGAAGCCCCACCCCTTTTCTACATGTGTCGTATTGTTGTGGCTACCATCTTGACTCTTTTTTCGTACACACACACATACTTTACACACAGAAACTTGAAGGTAAAGGACAGATTCGTGTTTTCAGAGGTCTCAGTTGATTGCTGAGAGTTTTTCAAATTAAGCTGCATAAAATTAACCAGCACCCACTTAATGGTCCAAAGGTTGCCTTTTTGGTTTTGTTTTTTGGTGACTTCAAGTCATTTTTGACTCCTGGCAACTGCCTAGATGTGCCCCTGCAATTTTTTTGGAATTTTCAGAAGGGGTTTGCCCTTGCCTCCTTCCTGGGGCTGAAAGAGAGGGACTGGCCCAAAGTCACCCAGCTGGCTTCATGCCTAAGGCAGGACTAGAGCTCAGGGTCCCCTAGTTTCTAGCCTGATGCCTTAACCGCTAGACCAAAGGTTGCCTACCACTGATCTGTTGTGGGAGTTATTTTAACTGGAGAGTGGGGCTAAAATCCTTAGTATAAGGAAACTCTTACATGTTGGAACGACTTTGGAGCAGGTGTCTTCATTGCAGCAGTACAGTTTTGACTGGTAGACCTTTCCACTCCCCAGGTCAAAGTGCATGTGGGTATCATTACAGATCTCAGATTTTTCACAGTTTTTCTCTAAAATGTAATTATCCGTCCCACCTACAATAGAAGTTAAATAAGAAAATAAAACAGTGTTTCAGGGAATTGGCAAAACCCTTTTCAGGGGATGATTTTTGACTGGGCAACGTATGTTTCATGGACCACTCTGTGTGCATACTGACTTGGTTCACACAAAATATTTAATCTAATTACTGAATAGACAATTTTTCTAGGTTGACATAATATATTGAAACATAAACTAACATAACGGGCTGGTTCATACAATATGCTGTGCAGAGGAGGAGGAGGAGGAGGAGAAGAAGAAGAAGAAGAAGAAGAAGAAGAAGAAGAAGAAGAAGAAGAAGAAGAAGAAGAAGAAGAAGA